TTTGTAAATGCTTTCCTGCATTTTTGATCGTTTCACCAATGCTAAAGGGATGCTTCATGTTTGTGGATTTGAAGCGGTTATCCGGATAAGCAAGAGGTGACTTTAGTTGGTGGCCAGTCACAACCACCACGTCACAGTGTTATTAAGAAGACATTTGTGGCTTTTTATAGAGAGAACGCTTGTCAGACGAAAGCCCACCACGTCCTGGAGCACTGTCGCCGAACTATTTGTTGGAACGGGGTAAACCCGAAGCACCCAGCTTGCACCAAGTGGAGGTTGTTCGGCTACCCAGTCGTTCCTCTCAGATATAAGCGCAACTTAATTCACTGTCTTACCACGAGAGCACTTTGAGTCTGCTCGAAAGACACCTTGGATGCGGAACTGACGTTCATACAGAGTACCCTACGCGCAAATGAGTATTCCAGCAGATTTATTTCAAGGATCGTACGAGAAAATTCCAAATCAGTTCCAGTCTTAACAGCGTCAAAGAAAATGCTATTCATAAGGTTGCTTTTTAAGGGGACGTGGCTACTGAGCGTTTAACTATAAGTCTTTCGGCCACAGTTAAGTCGACCTTCACAATAACTTCACTAAACTGCGCCTTTTCAACCAAACAACGTTCGTTCACGAAGCAAGGATAAGTTACTAAGGCTGACCGCATCTATGGTTATTTGTCAGTTCGGATGCGTCTTTGGCGCAAGATATATTGGTCGAATGGCGCGGCACTTGTCCAAACACGTGAATAAGCACTGCCCACGCTGTTTAAATCAAGATGGTGCTGGGACCATATCGTAGACTGGGTATCAGGTGGATCTGAACCGTGCCTTTGAGATAGTGTGCAAGATTCCCCCGCACCGATCGGAAGGTCGCTGTCTTCGTGCACTTTCGACGGCCGAAGCAATTTGTATTCGATTGTTTCAGCTGTTTTTATGCTTGCAGAAGAAGGTAGTCCAAGCTCTTTACCTTCCTTGGCCAGCGAAAACAGAAGACACTGAGGTCGGCGACCTTCGGTCAAACTTCGCAGCAGGCAACTAACCCATTAGGGCTCAGTTCGTTTTCCCTTTCTCTGACACTGACCCTCACATGATCCATGTAACTTGCACTGGGTCTATTTTATTTGTTTAAACCCTATATATGAAAGGAATGATCTGAAGATGAATAGTTGAAAGCAATCGCTCACCAAATGGCCCTTTGTGCTTAAAAATTAGATGGGAATTTTCAGCTTACTTAAACAGTAGTATGCTCGAGAATATCACCGTTTGGGAGGTTTTGCTATGCTTTCTGCTACTGACCAGATATGTGCGCTATTCCCTTTATTATTTAATGCTTCACAATCATATACTAAGACAATTACTTTTTTTCGTACTCCGGGCTATGAATTGCATTGCACTGAGATCATGTTTACCTACAAACGACCGAGTTGACTACGCTTAAGGGTTGAGACTATAGCTTATAGACTAACCGGTATCAAGCAGTAACAAAGTCATCTGAAGATAGCACTGGCAATTACAGGACGAAACTATCTACACTGCTTTGTAGAATCGCTCCAACAGTGTGAGCTTGATTTAGAACTAAAGTTGGTAACGGTCCACGCCAGCCGCTTCCAAAGGCACTTTCGATGCTGGTGTGTACTTATAGTGTTCTGGCATATCAGCAGTGTTATTTTACGTCAGAAATCGCGAATTCTCCCATTTTCACCTCAGACACAGCATCCTACTTTGCATTATTTTTTATAGTGACTTATGCATCCATATAAGGCCGAACCTTACCAATGCGCTTGTATCTCTTTTCTCGCACCTTTATATTGCACAAACCTGGCAGAATTAGGTCGGTCTATTCACTTACCTCATTTCTGGCCTAATGCACGTGTTAGCAATGCCGTGTTGTTTTTCAAAGTTTAGCACAAAGCCCCACTTTACCGCGCACCAACACATTGATGATATCATTTCGGTCAATGACGAGAAATTTGTAGCAAAATTGATATGCTCAGCGACAGCCTAAATTTCACTCATCTGTGCGCTGAAGTGATGTCAGCTTCTGACTTTAAGGGCAAGCTTTAAAACATTACGGCAACATCTATGTTACTGTTTGAATCGAAACACTAACACTGCATTGTAAAGACATAACAGGATATTCTTTCTCGATCACCAGTGTGTTGCATACATCTGGTGGGGGCGCTGAAGCCCGTAGGTCACTATGTTTGTACGACAGCGAAGCATCAGTTTAGATGCAATAGGGCAATCGTTTATAACGGGTAGAAAAGCAAATACTTGACATGTCCCGTAAGATGGTTAGGGTGAAAATCGCAAGATTAAGACATAGTGTCGGCAAAAGAACGTCCGGGATACATGACTAACTAAGAGGTTTACATTAGCACAGGTGTGAGTATTCTTTAGCTGGGGTTTAAGAGGATTATGACACCGTTCACTGTTTGTTCTGCATTAAGGCCATCCTCCTCAGTCGTAGAGAGGATGCAGCTATTGGGCGGTCTGTTTACCGAAAGGCGACTACTTCTGGCCAGTATTTTCGCTTCACTAGTTTCACACCAATGCGGTACAAGCGGACACTTGTAAAGACCTTATTTCGTCAATCCAGACAAATCTGCTCGGCCGACTGCTTAATCATTGCGATTATGTTAATTACGACAACACCTATGGAGCACGACTATCCTCGAAGTTTTATTGCAAAACACGGTCAACTGCGAGGACCAAGGGACTTGGTGCACATGGCAGCTAATAAAATGGTTTATATTGTGTTACCTTCGAAAGCGACTTCAACACACTAGGTGTGTCATCTCGGCTACGCAACGAACTTACTAAGCCGATGAAGTCGTGCTCAACCGAACATGAAGTTTTGCCCGTGTTTCAAACGATGGAATCTAAACCTATGGAGATCAGTCATCACTGTGTATACCAATTCATGTTTGACTGCGGAGCTAGTTACATAGGCATGTGATGGACTCTGACTACCCGAATGTGGGAACATGTACTGAAATGGCTCCAGCGTGAAATTGCCCAGTATCTCTATTCCCCACAACATTCGTGCTCGCGTGGGCTGTCGCTTCTAAATAGGCAAAGACCTACTGGGATCGGCTCACCGGATAGAGCTCAGCTCATTGTTCAAAACTATATTGCGCTAAGCTAATCTCCGCTTCCTTCGGTCTGCTGAGGCGGTCGCAATAAGCCGGATGGAGCCAGTCCTGTGCGTTCAAAAACAATTATTTGTCAGCTTAAGGCTGCCCTAGACGTAACGGCTGAACTTCCGTCATTCACTCTACATCTTAGGCTTGTCTGGTCATGTGCAGCTTTAGTCAAATTTGCATACCGGTTATTGGGTAATAGTGCTGAGGAGCCAACATGAAGTGTATGCATCTATCAGCTTACGTCTTTTTATTGGGCTTTCCAAAAAATCGTTTTGTTATTGGGATTCGCCACTGTGTCATTAACAAAATGCAGATTCGCTACAAATTAGTTAAGTGTCACTTGTGCTCCCAATGCTATTTCTTCACTTATACAACTTTGCATTTGTACTAGTGCTGTTTTAAAACATTTGCAGTGGCTGCTGTACAATGCTGAAATTGCACCCACTCAGGTACCTACAGCTTATATTGACTTAACGTTATTTTGACTCTGCACTCGCATTTCCGGGCCGGACGTTCTCATTTTTTTATGAGTCAGGTTATTGAGTCAAATCTCCTGGGAACGTGCCGCAAGTAAACCTCCATTTTCGTTACTGCCTTTCAGATCCGTAGCCTTTTTCTTCAAACATAAACTTCACCCTTCATCGGCCGTCGCGCAGATTATCAAGGGTCGCCTTATCTGCTGTATACAGCAGGGCGGATAAGCGAAAATCTGCTACTGCTGGCGCCTCCCTTCTTTCTTTCCCACCTGTTTCTCTTACTCCCATCCCGACCCCCGGTACTAATTTTCCTTCTATAATTCCCAGCTTAATTGACAGCAACAGAAGTGCCACTAAAGTAGAACCATCTGCAGCTACCTTCCCACAACACCCATCGGACGTCTATCGGCAACAGTCCCTTATA